TTGACATCTGCTGTAGCTAAGCCTGAATTACCTACACAATTTGTCACTCTTCTTAGAATGTCTTCCAGTGCACAATGCTCATGATCAGTTAAATTTTAATTATTATCTTCTATTGCTTCTGCCATATAGGGGTTATATTTCACTGGAAATAAATTTTGCGAATTTCGCGTTTTCATTAAATTCGCGAAATTAAATTCCACAAAAGAGGTGTGGCACACTAGGAAAAATGGCTGCAGAAGGTAGATTCGCGAAAATTTATACCAACAAATGGCAAATCTGGACAAATTCGCGAAATTTTATGCCAATAAAATAAAACCCCTATACGGTATAACATTTTTCTAAAAAGCAAAAAATACTCTCAAAAATACCAATCTACATGTGTTTTACAAAAAGCTTTTTATTTTCAGGTTCCATGGGATGGGACAGCAGTCTAGCAAAGTTATAGGCATGCCTTCTACATGAACAGGAACTTTGAACAGAAAAATAGGGTAGCATGTCATCTGTTACAAAAGTTAAAAGTTTCTTCAGCTAACAACCTTTTTGTATCTTTTACCTCTTTCCTTGCATAATGGGGTGACAATCATGTTCACATGGTTTCAAAGCTCTCATCTTAACAATTTCAAGCATGCATTTTTCCTGACAATCTGGTTTCAAGAATGTGTAGTCCATTTGGGATTCAACCATTTCCTGATGAACATCATCATTCCAAAATGATTCTTTGTGAATTAGATTACCATAGCCAAATTTAAAAGTTTTGTGGCAAAAAACCTTTGTGGTTTGATGGCTCCCAGTCCATTTATGGTTTTCATTTTTGTGGATCATTAGTGAAGCATCCACGCTCTCATTAACCTGTGAATATTATGTAGTTATTAATTTTTGGGTGTCATTTCAAACCACAAAAACCACAAAAGTTTTTGGCCATGAAACTTTCCAGCTATATGCTATAATTAAATTTTTTGGCAAATTCACATCCATTGAAGTTTTTGTGCTGCATAGTATATTGCTATGTTAAAATGACATGCAGTTATAATACCGCCAAAATAATCTATTTTTCTATTCATTAGATAATGCCAATTCAATTGACACAATTAGAAGATTAAAAGGTAAATTGAAGTAAAGTGATGCTATTAAAATAAAATGTGTACATTTAAAACCACGAATGATCAATCAAAATGTTTAGAATTACAATGTGGAAGTTACTTGCTTAAAATTAAGTAAAATGATCACTTTTCATAGGCATTCCTAATAATGACACTAATGGGGGTAACAAGTTTTGCTTTTCTTTTTTTCAAAACAATGAGGAAAACACCATTAATATACTTGGTATATATATTGGTACACAAGAAAATGAAGAAGTTCAATATAGTATAAAGTCAAAAGTTAATGGTGTTGCTAGAATCGGCAATGTTAAACCAGGACAAATAAACAAAGAACTGTATCAGTATACCTCCTATAATAACTTTGAAACTGATTTGAGCTTCAATCCACCAAGAGTGAAAGGCATGGTTCCTCTCAGATCAATGAGTGATACTGGCATTATTGTTGAAACTGTGGATAGTTTACATAAGATATCAGTGATGGGTTTTAGCGATGGAGCTGAGACATCAGATGGTTTTACTGCTGTGCCAATTGTTGACATGTCAAATATTATTTCAATAGACTACCAGTATTCAGTATTCACTGCAGGAGGAAAAGACTCTTCTATTGCAGCAATTACTACTTGTGATGATTTTGAGACTGCCGAGAATGTAACCATCAATGCAACTCTTGTTTCTCAACAAGGAAGCTTTTTGCCATTTAATGGATCCACCCTACCTTTTCAGAGTCATTACACTTCTGTTATCACCGGTTCAGATGATCTTATTTCCAGTATCAATGTCATAGCTACTCAACCAATAGGTTTTATGACTGGTCATGAGTGTGGTCAAGTTCCAATTGATCAAGTGGGCTGTGATCATCTCATAGAGCAAATACCCCCTTCTTATACATGGGGATATAATTTTTTAACTGCTCCATTTCATACAAATAATTTTGGATACATATTGAAGCTTTTGCCT